GTATCTGTCTTCTCTATGAGTCCAATCCTGTTCAACTTACCGTGACCCAGATAAAGAGGCAGAGAGCAGCGTTTGCAGACGTTTGCTGATGGTACCAAGCTGGGAGCAGTGGCTCATACCCCAGAGGGCTGTGCTGCCGTTCAGAGGGACCTGATCAGGCCAGAGAGATGGGCAGAGAGGAACCTCATGGAGTTCAACCAGAGTCCTGCCCCTGGGAGGAATAACCCCATGCACCAGGACAGGCTGGAGTCTGACCTGCTGGAGAGCAGCTCTGCAGAGAAGGATCGGGGTCCTGGTGGACGAGCTGACCATGGGCAGCAGCGTGACCTGCTCGTGGCCAAGGAGGCCGGTGGGATCCTGGGCTGCATTAGGCAGAGCTTGGCCAGCAGGCCGAGGAAGATGATCCTGCCCCTCTGCCCAGCCGTGGCGAGGCCGCCCGTGAGGAGCTGTGTCCGGCCCTGGGCTCCCGGTAGGAGAGACATGAAGACATGGGAGCAAGTCTAGGGAAGGGTCCCCGGAGCGTCAATCCACTGAGGAAAAGCTGAGACAGATGGGGCTGCTTAGCCTGGAGAAGAGGAGACCGAGGGGGATCTTGTCAGTGCCTATAGCTACCTGAAGAGAGGGTGTTTGAAGGAGGAAGGGGCCCCGGCCAGGACTGGACCTGGAACACAGGGAGCTCTGTCCGAACGTGAGAAAAGGCGAGTGTGACAGCACTGGCGTACGAGCTGTTTTCAAGCTAACTCTGGTAAGTGGAACCACTAGGAGAGCATTAGGGAGAAGAAAGAAGTTTTTATTAGACTTGCCTATGAAGCTGATCTTTGTTTACGTCGGAGAATGGGCTTTCTTCTGTACACAGTGAAATGGGCTGTGTGGGTGTGTGCTTTTTTGTTTTCCATTTGAAATATGTAAAAAGTTTTGAAATAAAATATTAGAAAGCATTGGATAATACCTTTAATTTATGTACTTATCCTGTGTAATTTTCCTAGAGTTCAGCACTTTATGGGTTTTGGTTTGATATTTGGTGATGTCGTCCAACTTCTTTACTGGTGTACTTCAATTCAGTGTTTGAATTTCTTGGAAATACGACATGAGAATTACCTGTTGTGTGTGTAAAACAGCTACTGGAATTCAGTGTTGTCTTTCCAGTGAAGAGATGGTATGTTTAATAAAAAATATTTATCTCGATGTTCTAAACTGGACCTCGGTTTGGTAGTCTGAGCTTTCTTTAAGGCATACTTATTAGAGTGTACAGATATTCTGCATTTTATTTGAATAACTGTGAATGATTTCCCCTTGGGGAGGGAAAGACTTTTCTCTAGAAACCACGAAAAGTGTGTGGTACTAGAGATTTGTGTGGATGCTTTTTGGCTTTATAGTTTATAAGGAATACATGGATGGTATTCTTCCTCAAAATGTGGATTTATATTATGTGCAATTCTAATGAAAAGGAGAGGGGGAAAAATAGAAGCAGATGCCAATGAATCTGAAGCTGAGTGTTGGAAAGTTCCCTCGAGAAGGGAATAGGCAGAATTCAGCTCAAGATGAGGCTTCGCAGGCAGTGCCCTCGCCGGTGAGACCCCCGTGCCGAGCACGCGGGGTCGGGTTTGTGCAGCTGAAGTCGGCGCAGACTGGAAGGGGTGACGTGACCCGCCGTGTGCCGTGGCTGTACGGATGGGGTCTGACAGCGGCGTTTGTCCGTCCCGTTTCTGCGCCTGTTACACTGATGCTTCCAGTGCTTCAGTTTTACATATCCTAAATGGGATCGAATTTATTCTCATATTTGGAGCCCCATTTTGCTGGTCAGAAGCCTGAGTTTCTGCTGCTTGAACAACATAATGACTTCTACAGTATCCTCTACCTTAATCTGTCGGTGGCAAGTAAGTTGGAGGTATTCAGTTTGTTCAATTGCTAAGGATCATCGCATAATAAAGCCTTTATGCATTTATTATGTTCTGATCTGTTTATGGAAAGTGATTTGTGTTAGCTGTTGTTTGTTGGATATGTCTGCTGTCCTTTGTAAAACAGAAGTTTGAAATGATAGACATCAATGTTGGCCTCCTAGGTTTGTTAGGAGAAAATAAGAAACCAGTGAATTTCAGATTTTCTGGGATGTTTCTTGGAGTATTGCAACAAGTGTTAAGGACAATATCCTGTCATAGTGAGTACATGAATTATTGGAAGTTTAAAAGCTATGTTTAATTTTTGTGTGTATGAATGGATATATAAATACAGACAAACGTAACAAAAATTTAACACGTTTAACATTGTTTTCTGAAACTGTGAAATGTGTCACTGAAACATTGACTTGAATGCGAGGTGACTGAGGTTACTTGATGCCTGAAAAAAGGCAGGCTGTGGAGAGGAGGTGAAAGCACACGAGGAGTCCGGTTCGCAAGGCCGCTCGGCTGGTTACCCCGAGCTGTGGGGGGCACCCCCGTTCCCGCTGCCCGCAGGGACGTGTTGGGGCCCGGGGCCACGTGTCCCTGGCCCCTTGCAGAGGTCGGGAAACGTCACCATGACCGTGTGCGGTATGAGCGGGTTCGGAACATCAAAGCTTCAAGGAGGAAAAGTATCACAGCCTCCTTAGCAAGGAAAAGGTCAGGATGCTGCGTTAGATAAGGGCTTGTAGTAAGAACAAATGTTGGTTTGTTGACGTTTTCAAAGCCTTCGGATGTGCTCACTGCCCTTCTAAAGGAAGAGAAGAGAGCCTTTGTGGAAGAGGGCTGGTGGTTTAGGTAAACTAACACCTTTCATGTGAGCAATTCAATTTATTTGAAGAGGAAGAAAGAGATGCAGTAACTGAATTGAAAGTAAATTCCAAAATCTTGTTTTATGGAGGAGGAGAACAGTAAAACCATTGCATATCGTTAATGAATCCTAATTTTAAAAGTCTGACAATAGAAGTTGGTGGCTAGTTTTATGAACTGTTAAGATATTCCCCTATTTTTTTCCATGCAGTATTTTAGTATATTTGTATTTGGGAATTGGTGTTTTAAGCTTTTGAGCTTTTAAAATCAGATGCCAGTGGTTTTCCAGAATTTGCCCTTCTCCAGCCTAGTGGCTCAAGCAGGATAACCTGGTAAAGGTGCTCAGCTAGGGAGACCTTCGGAGTTGACTCAAACAGGTTTTCCGTCCTAATGGAGCTCATGCTCTTTGCTCTTCGCACTGACGTTCGTGGACTAGTTTAGGACCAGGTTTTTCTGCTGTGCTCGAGGGATGGACTGAAGCTGTCGACATTCATGTGGTGTGTTTGAAAAGCTGTCGCTTGCTATCCCATGATGGCTCTGACTCGAGCAGGAAGATATAATGGGAAAAATACGCTGTTGTTTGCGACTTTTTAGAGGAACAGCAGTCAAGCTGGACTGCATTTCAAGGGAAAATCTATGCCATTACTAAGTCTTAATGCGGAGTAACAGTAGGACAGGGTAGAGACATATGGATACTAATGTACTGAAAAAACAAGTGCTCAAAACTGTGAAGTATTTGCATGATTTCATTACTGCAGACCTGGATAAAAGATCCAGGCAGCAGCAGGGAGATGACTTGGGTTCTGAGAAGGGCTGTCACCTCATTTCACATCCTGGCTTTGCTGAGTGGCTTAACAGTTCCCATCTCAAACATTTAGATTTCCTTATCAGCGTCTTTGTCATGTTGGGTGAACATATGTACTTGTTCTGTGCGTAAATAGAGATCTGGAAGGGGGGGAAGATGCTGTTTGGAGATGCTAAAGCTTAGAGGTGTCATTGCCTTGAGTTTTCAGCTTGTTTCCTTACCCTTTGTGCTCTGGTGGGCAGGAAAGCGGCTCCTGGCTCTACCTCTTTTCCCGGTTCAGACATTTGTGGTGCGAGGGAACGGAGATCTTGGCAGGGCAGCCACGGCTAAGGATCCTGTTCCCCTGTTGGACATCAGTTGTTGGACAATCATGCGAGGGAGATGCAGCTGCTTTCGGTGACGGGCTGCATGTAGAAGTGCACATGTGGGGCTGGGGTGCGATTTAAGCCGGGCTGGTGGAGCAGCCTTTCTACGGAAAGGGGAAGGATACTGACGACCGTGATTTTTAGGAGAAGCATGGTATTAAAGATAGCGGTGCTCCTTGTTTCATTTATTAATTGTGTGAAGCTCGTTTGGGTTTGATGCAGCCAGCGTAGACTGTTAGGACTGGCAGACTGCCAGTCTGGTACCATGACTGGTACCTGGGCTGTGCCGACCCCTTCAGAGCGGCCCCTCTGAGCGCGCCGGTGCCAACGCGGGTGCTGTGGAAGCAGGAACGGGACCGGCCGTCCTCGGGAGCAGGGCTGATTCCCGCTGCCGCGTCCGCGCTAAGGCCCGTGGCACCATCTGCTGCGGCTTGAGAGACCCCAGGGAGCAGCAAAGGCATTCACAGTGCATCTTTTCATTGAGATAAATAATATTTTAAACCTACAAGGGTGAGAATTGTGGCTTCTCAGTTCCTCGGGAGGCCAAACGCTTCTTTCCCTCTAGCTCATGCCCAGAAAGAAGCTTCTCTGTGCCGCAGTCGCATTTTAAAGCACTCATTAAAGCGTTCAGGCTGCGCCGTGTCCCAAGTGTTTTGCGTGGCGCGCGGGAGCGGCTCGGCTCGGCTCGCCGCGGCCTCCTGCCCGCACCGCGCGGCGTGCGGCGCGGTGCGCGGTAAGGGACAGGGCGCGGGGGCTGCGC